AGGTACTTGATTAAGCTCCCTCCCCCTCGCTTCCCTTCAGTGTCTGAATTTTTGTGCTGGTGTTGGTGAGGAAATGTGTTCCTTCATTCAGCAAATGTTTGTGAGCATACCAATTAAGTGAAAAGCACTATTCTGGGGCCCATGAAGGGTTCAGAGACAGGATCCCTGCCCTTCCTGTGGTGATAGTCCGCATTAAGAGATAAGACCTGTCTGGTGAGTGGCATTTGAGTGGACCTCAAAGAACAGGCAGGATCTTGGTAAGCAGGATCTTGGTAAGCAGAGATGAGGCGGGAAGGAAAAGACAGGAGGCTGTGCCCCCTGAGCATCAGAAGACCAGCTTGCCACTTACTGTGTGACTGTGGACAAGTCACTTCCTCTCTCTTGGCTGAGTCAATATCCTCAGATGTAAATGAAGGAGATTAGACTTGGGTGATCTCAAAGGTACCTCGCAGCTCTAAAATTCTATGTTCTAAGCTTACATACTGTAACCATTCTGACATTGTGTCCAAAGGGCCTTTCCTGGTCTGACCTTCTATAGTTCTGAGAACTTGGGGGGAGATTGAGGGATTTTAAACTAGTAGGTTTGTAGTCTTTGCAGTCAAGGAGATTGCTTTGTAGACAACCATACCTTTTTGATGGGCCTGGAACAGGTCCTTTTATAGGAAAGGTGTCGGTAAAGTTTGTTGAGAAAATGAAAGAAGTATGCAGTAGCCCAGTGTTTGATAAACCCAAAGACCCCTGCTAAATGGAGTCATAACTCTTACTATTCAACGAAAATTGCTCAGAAATTGTGAAAGCAGTCTGGCAGAAGCTAGGTATAAACCAACATCTTACACCATACACCAGAATAAGTTTCAAATGAGTGTGTGACTCTGACATAAAGGGTGGCATCATAAACAAATGGAAGGAGTAAGGAAAACATTCTCTTTCAGATCTATAGATAGGGGATGAGTCCTCAACCAGACATACCTAGAGAGAGTCGCCAAAGATGCAGTGAACCATTTTGAGTGTATAAAATTGATCTATAGATAGGGGATGAGTCCTCAACCAAACATACCTAGAGAGAGTCGCCAAAGATGCAGTGAACCATTTTGAGTGTATAAAATTGATCTATAGATAGGAGATGAGTCCTCAACCAGACATAACTAGAGAGAGTCCCCAAAGATGCAGTGAACCATTTTGAGTGTATAAAATTCAAGAGTTTTTGCACAGACAAAATAAATGCAGCTAAGATTAGAAGGGAAGTGGCAAATTTCTCTAATAAGGATATAATGTCCAGCATGTATAAGGGAACTTATATAAGAATATAAGCATTTCCCAATAGAAAAAGTTTTTAAAGGATAGTATCCAAGCTATCAATAGCTGTGTGAAAAATGTTTCAAATTACCAATAATTAGAGAAATCCAAATAAAAGAAAATCTAGGGTTCTACCTCATTATTGTGCTATAAGACATGATGAAGGGGATGGTTTCAGAGAAACCTGGGAAGACCTAGTATGCACTGATACAGAGTGAAGTGAGCAGAACCAGGGGAACAACCTATACTGTATGAACAACATTCTAAAGATAAACTGTTTTGAAAGGCTTGAGAACTCTGATCCATATGATGACCAACCATGATTATTTTCATTTATCTCACAATGTTAAGATCCTTTTTACCATAACCTCCTCCGCCACCTTTTTTCCTCCTAAAATGTACCATCAGCTGGAGTGGAGAAGGAAACAGTCCTGTTCATTCTCTGCCACCAGTAAGCAATGGATTACTGAACAGGCACCCCTTAGATATGCTGTAAATATGCTCTAGATCCCCTTAGGGATGAAAGAGAAAAGCTTCAGAGCTCAGTGGTAAGAAATCCCCAAAGAGAAAAGAGCAAAAGTGAAATGAGAAGACTTCTGCCTTCTTTCAGGCCTCAGGAAGGAGTGTTTCTTCAATTGTCTCTCCTTGACCTGTTTTCTAGGTCAGTTGTTTTGGATAATTAATCAATCATTTAAATTTCATTCTAACATTTTTATTTTGTCCTAATATTTCTTATTGTCTCATGGAGTTATTGAGTTCCATTTGAGTCCTTCTAATTTCCTAATTTGGTGCATTCTAATTCAAGGATAATTCGAATTTTGGTCTATTCTAATTCTTTGGGGAGTCTGCTTCTTGGGTAAGATTTTCTGCTTTCTGGTTCCATGTGATTTACTCTCCCTTCAGTTTTTTTCTCCATAGTGCTTATTACACTTGTCATTTCCTTTTTTAAAATCTCTTGCTTTATTTCTTCCAGATACTCTTGTAGACCTTGTGGCCAAGACATTTTTTCTTTGAGGCCATCCTTGTAGTTTTGGAATTACTCTTTTTATGGGCTAACCTCATGGGTGTCTCTTGACTCATAACATTCCTTAACAGTGTTTGGTGTCTTTTTCTTTTTACCCCTGTCTCTAGCCTCCGTCTGGGGCCAAGCTCTGCACCCTTCCAAACTCTTGAATGGGGGGGCAAGGCCTTGTTTGATCCTGACCTGTTTCCTGGTCTCCTCCCACTGGCTTGCACCTCCCCAAGTGTGTTGTGTTGGTCTTCAGCTCCCTGGCAGGTTTCCGTGCCCCTAGTCAGAGTTCTGCAGCCTTCTGGCCCCTCGATGCGTGCCCATGCTGGTTTTTGCTCTGAGCTCCCATTCTCCTGGAGGCTTCCCCAATCAGGGGGATGCTGAGATTTTTCATGCCCGTCAGGATCCTGGTCAGGACATAGCTACAGGCTTCTTGCCTGTTTACCAGAGCCCATTCTGGCTTCCACAGTGGAGCCCTTTTCTAACCTCCATGACTTTCTGACTCCCTTATGGTGGGGCCCTGAGCTGGGTGGAGGAACTTAACTGCTTTGGATTTTGTGATGGTTATTTGGTCTGGCGCCCTTTTTAGAACGTTGCTGGAGTACATGTAGGAGGGCTGGGAGCCTCTGTCACCTTCCACACTGCTGTGTTCACCAGAAGGCCTCTTGTGCCCTTTCTGACAGAGAGTCGTCACTGGTCATTGGTAGAGGCCAACTCACTGTGCTGTCACGATTCTTCTGGTATTTGGGTTTTCCAAAATTAGTAGCTCTGTAGCATCAGAGGGAGAATATTTATCCTAAAAAGATGAGTTTTTGTGGTATTGGACAGCTAGGGACTGTTCAAAGTGTTGTGATATTTCCCAACTGCCACCCAACCTCTTCTCTATTTGTATAAAAAAAGAGAAACAGTAAAAATGCTGTCTACCTTCAAAGAGGTTACATTCTACTGGAAGGTACAACATGTCAACAAATAAGCATGAACACAGTTGTTTTAGGAGGGGAGAGCACTAACAGGCAGGGGAGTTAGGAAAGGCTTTCAGTAGCAGGGGATTCCTGGGTGGAACCTTGAAGAAAGCTAAAGTTCTGGGGAGGGCATTCTGGGTATGGACCGTTGTCTATGCAAAGGCATGGAGGTGGGAAAATGGAATGTAAAATTTGAGGAATAGCAAAATAAGCCAGTTTGACAGCAAAGTAGAGCATGCAAAGGAGAGTAATGTGAAATAAATCTGGAAAGGCAGGCTGGAGACACATTCTCAGGGGCTTTAAATGCTAAGCTGAAATATTGGTATTTTATCCTGGAGATGAAAATTGCTTGAACAGGGAAGTGACATGGTCAGAGCTATGTTTTAAAGATGGACAACAGTGTGGAAGATGAATTGCTCCAACCAGGCTAACCTTTTCCATCTCTTCACTGTCCTCCTCTCCCACAATGCCTCACTCACATTTATTCCTAAATATTCTGAAAGAGACAAAGACAGAAACAGAGAGAAACAGAGAGAAGAGACTTAGAGACAGAAAGAGAGAGAGAAAGGAGAGATAGAAAGAGAAGAGAGAGAAGGGAGAGAGGGAGAAAGACAGAGAAAAGAGACAGAGAGACAAAATGAAGATAAGAGAGACAAAGACAGAGAGGGAATGAACAGAAAGAAACAAGGGAGGTAGGAATGAGCAGATTGCATTGCTGAGGGTGAATGATTCATCTGCAAAGGCCCTGAGTCATCCTTCCTTACTCTTTTCTTCCCTCATCCCCCGGTGACCAAGGGCTGGCAAAGGTATCTGCTGGTGTGCCTTCAGTGGAGGGATCTTAGTGGAAAAGGACCTGGCCTGGTTCAATTATAATAATCATTCCAATTTCTGAAGCATTTTTAGGCTTACAAAGCATTTGCTTCTCAGTACCCCTGTGAGGTGGGTGTCAGTATGATTGGCATCTTTAATTCAACTCCAGAAACATGAGGTGCTTACTGTGGGTGAGGCCCTGGGCTAATGAGCATTTGATATTCAAAGACAAAGCGAGGCCCCTAAAGCTCAAAGAAATCTTTTGACTCCAAATCCAGGGTCCTTTCCTTTATACCACACTGCCTCTCCCAGATCTTCTCCTTGACCTGTGATCTGGGTCTCAGCTTTCCCATCTGTGACATGAAAGGACTGAATCAGATGGCCCCTTAGATTTCTGCCCACTGTAATATTCTGTGCCTATGTTCTACTGTACTTTTTCATGGAAATGTGAGTTGTTGTTATTATTAAATAGTGGGTAGCCTCCTATAAACTCCTCCTGTAGTGCCTCCCCAAGTCAAAGACTATTCTGGGGCGGGCCAGCTGCCAAGTCTTTGAGATGGACTCTGGCTCTGACAGAGGCTCTGTCTCAGTGCAGGCAGAAAAGCTCATTCCAGGGCCTCAGGATTCACAAACTCCACGGTGGCAGCTTTGGGCCATGCAGGAGTTACCCACACCAACAGAATCTCTGTGCTGGCACGCACAGAGCAGAATGGGAAGCCGTCGGCTTGACCGGGGCCCCACAGGCCTCCCTCTGCCTGTCGCCCGGCTGACGGCCCCCTCGTTCCTCTCCACTGACACTCCCTGGGCCAGTCAGACGGAGAAGGAGATGAGCTGGTGTCTTTCCTGCAGCCTACGACAGCTGCTGCCTCCTCCTCAGAGGGCCTGGTGGCCCCTGATGTCAGTCTCTTTGTTCCCCCTCCCAGGCTGAACGCTGTGCTTGCCGTGGCCTGCAGGGATTGGTCAGGATTTGGTCCCAACTAGGGCGACCACCTGTTGTTGTCCTTCTCCAGTCCTGCCCTAGAAGCAGAGTGAGAAGAGACACTCAGCCCCCAAGGCTAGCACACAGGACCGGAACCCACTTCCCCCAGGTAAGGGTGGGCCTTTCCTGCTTTCTGACCCCCCAGACTACCCTGGTGGAGAAGCGTGTGGGCATGTGCCTTCTTTTCACCCCTGTGGAGACCCTGATTCTGCGTGGCTCGGCCGTGCTCCAATTGGCCAGGTTCGGCCGGGCTTCATGCTGGCCAGGCCCAACGACTGCAACTGGACAGACTTGGGGTTATTTGGGGAGGTGCTTTCTGAGAGGCTTGTGTTTCCGGTCCTCCTCATGGTCTTGTGGCAAGTTTCAGGTTAAAGGTTCCTGTCTCTGCATGTGGCTAGAGAGGGCAGTCCTTCAAGATAGCCCCTGTTTAAGAACAGATTCACCTGGTGGGGGCAACTCTGTGACCATCTTCCCTCCGTTTCTGAGGAATCTCCTTCAAGGTGACAACAGGACCGGTGGGATTATCTCCAGGGTGTCTGCAGTAATGGGGAGATCTCTGGGCTGAGGCAGGTTCTGGTCCCAGCTGGGCTGCTGACTCACTGTTTGGCTTCTGATAAGTTACTCACCCTCTCTGAGCCTCAATTCCCTCAGCAGCAAAACCAAGGGGTTGGACTATTTTGTCTCTAAAGCCCCTTTTAGCTCTCACATTCTGTGAGTTCCTGGTGTCCTAGGAGGCAGGGGGCCTGGGTTCTTCCCTTGGCTCTATTACTTTTTTTGGGGGGGGGGGGCCTAGGCAATGGGGTTAAGTGACTTGCCCAGGGTCACTCAGCGAGTGAGTGTCATGTGTCTGAGGCCAGATTTGAACTCAGGTCCTCCTGAATCCAGGGCCAGCGCTCTATCCGCTACACCACCTAGCTGCCCCTAACCCTTGACTCTGTTACTGACTCACTGTTTGGCTTTTGGTAAGTCTACTCTCTGAGGCTCAGTTTCCTTACTTGTAAAAAGGTGACTCCTGAGGTGCCTTCTAGTTTTAATATGTCCTCTTTTAAGATCCCTCTGAGCTACTAGGATTAAATCACCAAGTTAGACTAACCCCGTTTGCTGGACGGCACTTCTGGGCAGAGGTCGTAAGGTCGACTTAAACTGGAAAACAGGATAGGCCTTGATTCTGAGAAGGTAAGTCATGGAAATAACTCCCACCCTGCCCACTGGCCCTGCAGCATGCTGGCCGCAGACAGGGGACCCGAGTTCCAGCCCTAACTCTTCTCAGAATCAATCCAGCTTCCCAAGTCCAGCCAGTCCCTGCCCCTTCCCCATCTACTGCCACCCACCATCCCCCGGGTAGGCATCTTCCTGATCTACCTAAGGAAGGTCTCCTTAACAAGCAGAACTCTCAAACAGTGCAAGATAGTGAGTTCCCCATCACTAGAGGTGTTTAAACAGTCCAGATGAGTTCTTGTCAGGAAAGTTGTAGAGGGGATTCATTCTTCAGGTAGGAGACAACTCAGTGGCCCCTTCCAGCTCTATAAAATCTTGCCCCTTTTCGCTTTAACCAAAATGAGGAGAATTAAGGCCATTTCCCCACTCCCAGTCACCTGTTAGAGACTCTCAACCCTTCCTTCTCCATGGTAAAGGGGAACAACTAAAAACGACTGGAGGCAAGTTGGCGCCATCTCCTGAACCCTCAGGACTGTTACGAGGCAGGCTGAGAAAGGGACAGGGCACCCAAGGAAGCTGAACGAGTGGAGGGTGGGAGGTGAAGGAGGGCTCCTGAAGGCTTCTCCCTCCCAGTGGGGTGGAGGGGTGAGGGGCAGCACGGGTGGCTGTCTGCAGAGTGGCTCAGAGCCCCTCAGATGTCCGGATCTGAAAGGAGCTTCACCGCACCAGGCCCAGAACGCTGGCACTGAGAAGCCCTCAAAGGTCATCCGGTTCAGCGCCTCATCTTACAGCAGCTCAAGCAGAACCAGGAGAGGGAGCCTCGCCAACATCACCCAGGAATGGGGGGAGGGCTCAAAGCTGGGGTGCAGCCTGAGGTCCAGGGCTCCTCCCACACCTTCTGGTGCTTCTCACTCCCCGAAATTAGAAACGTGCCCTCGCTCCTGGAGACCTCTTTCTAGATCTCTTATTCCACAGTTAACCTCAGCTCTGCTTTCTCTCCTTTTGGCTTGGTTCACCTCCTGGCATCACAAGAAAGATTAATAATGATAATAATAATATTTATAAAACATCTTAAGATTGACAAGCACTTTTCATATATTCTTGTGTTTGATTCTCAAGAACAATAAGTAGACTGCCATTATTATAATACCCATTTTAGAGATAAGGAAACTAAGGTTAAGTGACTTGCCAAAGGTCCCACACAGCTAAAAAAGTAGGATTCACACTCAGGATTTCCTGACTCCTGAGTCCAGCCCTCTCTCCACCATGGTTTTGGTGTTTCTTTTTTTCCCCTCACATTTATTTATTTTATTTTTAATTTATGGAATAAAAAAAATATTTCTATAACATGATATAATTAAAAAGATGATTGCACATGAAACTACAAATCTGTTATGTACAACCTGTTACTCCTTTTAAATATATAATAAAATTATCATGTACATTTCCTTTTTTTCTTCCCTCTCCTCCCCCTGCCCTAGAGATGGCTACCATTAGACACAAATACGTATATATATATATATTTTTTTTTCTTCCCCCCCTTGGGGAGGGTGAGGCAATCAGGGTTAAATGACTTGCCCAGGGTCACAGCTAGGAAGTGTCAAGTGTCTGATGTCACATTTGAACTCAGGTCCTCCTGACTTCAGGGCCAGTACTCTATCCACTGCGCCACCTAGCTGCCCCCAAATAGGTATACATATTTTAAATTATTCTATACGTACTTCTATTTAACAGTTCTTTCTCTAGATTTTTAAAATTTTTTTCTAATTGAGTAAAATAATTTTTTGGTAATTTAATTGGGATGGCATTGAATATATAAATTAGTTTAGGTAAAATTGGCATTTTTATTATATTGGCCCTGCCAAACCGTGAACAATTAATCTATCTCCAATTATTTAAATCTGATTTGTTTGTATAAAAAGTTTTTTTCTGATTGTTTAATATAGTTTGATACTTCTTAAACACTGCTCCTAGTAGCTTCTGTCTCCAGGCAGTCTCCAACTGTCTGCTGCTCCTCTGGAGCTGTGGGGCCATAGAGCTGGCAGCATCACCTGCTCAGACAGCTTCTCCGTATTTCCTTTGAGTCTTTATTAAGAAACTGGTGGGCGGAGTGTCCAAAGATCCTTGCCCTCAAGAGGCCCTGAGGCCTGGGCCTAGGAGTAAGGCCACAGTGCTGAGGAGGGGCTGAGGGGCTCAGGGACTCAAGCACCCCAGAGATTTGAAGGAGTGGTGCAGGCCCTTGCCTCTGAAGTGAGGGCACCACTGGACACCAGAGCTTGGCACGGGCCAAGGTGGCAGCTCTGAGTTGCCCCCTGGCGACCCTGCAATTCGGCCTTAGGCTGAAGCTCTTTGGTGGGAGAGGGGGCCTGGAGGAGTAGGAAGAGACTGGCAACCACTTACCCACCTCTGGGCCTCAGATGTCCTCATGTGTAAAATGGGAGTAGCACTGGCTCACTAGCTTCACCTTTTTGTCAGGCCCCTTCACCATCATTGTCACATTTGACCTTCGAGGCCTGGGGAGGTCAGGAGAACGAGGATTATTAGTGGCTTCTCATTCTAGATCCCAACTTAAGAGCTGAGGATTTAGAGTTGGAAGAACCTGAGAGAGCCTCTGATCCATCCTCTCATTTTACAGGTAAGAAAACTATGGCCCATTCAGTGTTCCGAAGGCTCTCCTAGCTTTGACAGTCTGGGTTCTGAGGGCCCACCCAGGTCTGACATTCATTGTTATAAAGGCCCTCCCAGCTCTGACATTCTGTGTTCTAAAACCCCCGTTCCCCCCACCCCCGCTTTGATATCCTGTGTTCTGAGGGCCCTGGTAGCCCTTAGATTATTCATTAACCCAGAAGAAAAGTTCCTAGAAAAGCTACATATCAATTTCACTTTATAAAAATGAAACCCCATTTTGTAAACAAACTCGTGTTCCCTGTTTACAGCCAGCTTTCCTTACAGGAAGGGGTCTGTGTGAGAAGCGTGTCTGATGTGTGAGATGGCCGTCTGAGTCACAAATTCCTGCTTCGTGAGGAGCCTGGCCTCAACATGGCCACGGGGGACCTGGAGGTGCTGGACAGGGGTCTGGGCTGCCCCGAGGCCATGGAGGAGCTGACCAAGTCAGTGGAGAGATCCAGGGAAGAATCACAGGAGGAGGAGGAGGCCGAAGGTACCTGGATACCTGGGGTGCTTCATGTTGGTGTAGGGTGGTTATTTTGTGTCAGACTCACTGCTGAAAGGTGTTTGTTAATGAAGCCATATCCGGAGCCCCCTGCACTGTGGAATCGCCACAGAGCCGTCCATCAGTCAGAGAAACCCTCTGCAGGCGTTCCCTGCATCATGGTTTCCGCACCTGCTTCTTCCTGTGGAATCTGGGACCCTTAGAATAATGAAATGCAGAGTGGGCTTGGGAGGGACCTGGGGCCCATGCAGCTGATCAGCCTGCCACTCTCTCCATTTTGTGGGATCTTTTAATCCATTCACATCTAAAGTGATAAGAGGTTTATATTTCCCTCCATTTGTCTCTCACATTGGTGTTATTCTGCATCAGGACTTGCCCCACTCTTCCTCTGTAAACACAACACTTTGTCTCTTCAGTTACTTTAGCTTAACCCAGGCCTGCACAAGCTGCAGCTACTTCAGCAGGCCCGAGGGTTTCCTCTACAAACAAAGGATATTTTCCTCTACATTTTTTGAGGGCTACCCGAAATCCTTTGGTGTGCCCAGGTTGTGCAGGCCTGGCTTAATGTAGTTTTTTTTCCTTCCTGCTTTTTGGTGAGGCGATCCTCACACAGCTAGGAAGTGTTAAGTGTCTGAGGCTGGATTTGAACTCAGGTCCTCCTGACTCCGGGGCCGGTACTCTATGCACTGCACCACCTTGCTACTCTTGTCTGAGGTGTTTGAAGAGCGAGTAATTTATTCAGATCTGGTTTTCTTTGTAGGAAAACTTCAAATGCATCTTTTTTATTGAACATCTATCTTTTTTCATTAATGGTCAAGCTCAGGTTTTCAGGGTATGTTACTCTGAGTTGCTCTTCAGAACACAGTATTCTTTTCCCTCCTGAGGTTTCTGGTGGGTGCCTAAGAGTCTTGTGTAATTCACATTTCCTTTCCTTTATATTTGAAGGCCTGGTTGCTCAAAGACTTTCTTGTTTGTCAGTGGTCGTTCAATTTAAGCATCCTGTATGTCTTGCAGTTTGTAGTAGAGTTTTTGAATCCTTATGTTGTCTCTCTGTATCCTGTCTTTGAGATCAATATGTTTTGCTTGTGTAGAGATCGTTTCCTTTTAATGCTGTTGCTTTTTGCCTCTCCTCTTCAAGATTGTCCTTCACTTCTGTGTATTTGCAATCCCAATCAGTTACTCTCTCTTTTGTTTCTTTGGTGTGACTGCAGGTTCAAGTTTTTCTATTCTGCCAGTTATTTCTTTTGTGCAGGCCATGAATTTTGCTTTCAGAATTCTTAATTCTCTTTTAAAACCATGTGGGAACATGCTGCTGGGGTTCCATGCTTTCTTGGGAATCTGCTGCCTCATCAGGTGCCTATTCATTTTCCTTCATCTTGCAATGTTTATTCATAGATGCCTGAACTCTTTTACCTGATCTGGAGGCCATATTCCTCTCTGTTATCAATATCTTCCCTATTGGTTTATCTGTTTATGCTCAAAGTTTTTAATGGAATTTTCTCCCTCTTGAGATCTTTGGTAATTTTAGTCTTTTTTTCTGAATGTTACTCATTTTCTGTTCTGTTTCTATTACTCACTTTCCGATTCCTTTTTCTTTGATTGTGGTTTCCCTAGGGGCTGGACCTCAAAACCGTCTTAGTCCCCTCCCATTCTTGGTAATTCACGTTTCACCAGGCTCCTTCTCTGCCCCTAACTGCCTTTTGGCTTGGGGGATCCATGCGCGCTCTGGCAACCTGCCCCGACTCCCTGTTCTTCTGTTCTCTAGCTGAGTATCATTGCCCTGAGTGTGGAGCATGGTGGTCCCAGCCTGAGCTTCTGCCTTTTGGTTTTCTGAGGGGGTGTAGGAATTGGGGGTGGGGCTGAGGGTAAGGGGATGGTGTTGAGTTCTGCCCTACCAGAGTGTGGTGAGCAGGGGCAGAGGGGAACATTAGGGGTTAGGGATCAGCCTTCTTTGCTGTTAGTTCATTGGGTTTTTACCTTGTTGGGGTCCATGGTGTCCTAAACCATGGAAGCACCTGGACCTGCTTTATCTCCCACGAATAATTCCTATTTTGGAGAGGTTTGAGAAGGAGTACTGATCAGAGCCCTTCATCTGGTGGGAAGCATCCCCCTGAGGCCATCTAGTGAAGCCTCCATTTGAATCTTCTGCTGGGGAGGCTTGGCCTACAAGGCCCTCTGCAGACTAGCCCCAGACTCTTTCCAGCCTTTGGTGTCACTCCTCTTTGTCACCAGCCACAGACAGCTGCTCTCGTGGCCCCCTTTTTTATCTCAGGAAAGGGTTTTGTTGGTCCTTGGACTAGAGCAATTCTTGAATGTGGAATGGAGAAAGGGGAAATGGGGCAGGAAGAAGAGGGGTGCAGGGGGCTGGCCCAGGCCTGGGGGGTAGGTGGCCTTACTCTACAGTGTCCTTATCTCATTTACCCAGATCTGTGTCCTCCCTAGGTAGTGAGAAGGCAGAAAGTAAAGAAGAGACGAGCAGCCAGGTGCAGGTGCAGGTGCAGGTGCAGGTACGTAGCCCACAGAAAGGTCTTTGGGTGAGAAGAGGACAAAAGCCAGGCTGTGTGGATTTATTTCAGTGTTTAGAGTCCCAGAGTACAGGTCCTCAGGGCTGAGAGGGCACAAAGCTCGCCCAGAGGGACGACAGCCTCCGTGGGGCAGCCCAGGACGCTGCAGACACTGGCCTGGTGGGAGCAGCCTAGGTGCCCCCCACCCCCACCCACAGCTGCCAAAGCCGAGGCCCGCTCCCTTAGCTCGGCCATGGGCTCTAGACGCCTTTTTCAGATTTGTTTCAGACTCCCCTTTATCTATACTCCATACCAGCCAAACTGGCCCTGTTTGCTTGGTGTTCCACCTCCTGCCTGTGTGCCTTTGCCTGGGCTGTGCCCCACTCCCGGAATGCCCTCCTCTCCTCCCCTCCACCCCTTAGAATCGCTCACTCAGCTCCTCCTCCAAGCCTTTCCCCTCATGATCAGCACTCTCCCCCCTCAAATTACTGAGCTGTTTACTTGGCGAATCCCAGAAAGGAGTGTAGTCGCCTTGAGTGTAGGCCCCTGAGCCTCCCGTGCAGCTGCTGTTTATTAAATGCTTGCTGAATTGAATGGAGCAGAGAACTGGGTGTTCCAGGCAGAAAGCCCAAGCCTCCTTGAAAACACAGGGGCTCAGATGGGGCCTGATGGGCGGCGTCTACGCATAGGACAGCGTACTGAACGTGGAGTCACAGGACCTGCGTTTGAATCCTGACTCCGCTCCTGAAGTCGCTAGATGACCTCGCGCAAGTTCGTTCCCTACTTTGGGCCTCAGTTTCCCTTTTCTAGAACAAAAAAAAAAAGCTCCTAGTCAGTGCAGGCTGTTCTCCTCATGAGGAGAGAGGCAGGGTGGAGGGGGGCAGAAAGCTGGCCACAGAGTCAAGGGGCTGACTCTCCCAGTGCCCCAGGACAGCTGTGATATTGGCCCAGCGGGTAGAGCTTCCTCACCCCAGGGTCCCCATCCCCAGTAAAATCACAGGTCTGGTAAAAAAAAGGAAAAAAAACCATTATTGGTCATTGTAATGGGCGGCTCTTGGGTAGCCGGTGGCACGGTGCCTAGAACACTGGGCTTGGATCAAAGTAAGACCTGAGTTTAAATCCAGCCTCACACCCTGGTGAGCCACTTCACCCCTGCCTGCCTCAGTTTCCCCATTGTACAAATAGGGATGAGAAGAGCAGCTGTCTCCCAGGGCCCTGGTGGGGCTCCGATGAGATAACCTTTGTAAAGCCTTTAGCACAGTGCCTGGAGCAGAACATTAATAAATGCGGGTTCCCTTCCCTTCCCTGTTTAACAAGCCTCTCCTCCAAGTCCCTGAGAAGTCAGTGAGTAAGGGCAACTTCACATTGCAGAAAAGACCTCACCAGGAAGTAGGAGCCCTGGGGTCAAGCCCTGCTTTCCCCCTTGGGCCTCAGTTTCCCCATCTGTCAGGTGGGGTGATGTCTGTCTCCCCAAAGAGGAGAGGTCCCCGAATGAAATAAACTGCCTGGACAGTGGGTTTCCCCTCCATGAAAGTCCTCAAGCAGAGAATGACTGAACATTTGCAGGTTATGGAAGGGGCTCCTTTGCTGGGTGTGGGAGGGAGGGTTCCTAGGGTCCCTGCCAGCTCTAAAAATCCTTTCTTCTATGATTCTGTGAAAGGGTCGCTTACTTAACCCGGCCCCACAGAAGGACTCCTAATTCCCTCTGACCCTCACCTACGGGAGATAGTGATGCTGGAAAAAATTGAGTATCTCCCCTGATGGCTGTGGCCATTTACCCCCAGGGCCTGGGGTAAGAAGCCAGTGGGGTCTAGGCCAGTGGGCTTGGTTCCTGGCACCAGGATCGGTCAGGGAAGTCAGAGGAGCCCCTAGAAAGAGAAAGCTGAGAAGCTCTTCAGAGGGGCCCGGGCCCTGGGAGCCTTTCACAGAATCAGAACATTCCCAGGGGAGGGGGGCGCCTTGGAGGGAATCCAGGGAGAGGTGGGGCCTGAGGCCGACCTTGTCAGCCAGAACACAGCACCCCTGTGCTTCACCTCTGTTGTGAATTCAGTCCTGGGCATGAGCCAACCAGGCAAGGCACCCCCAGGGCTCTGCTGCCCTGGGTCCGAGTCCTGAGGCCCGGGGAGCTTGGCCATGGGTGCGGGTGTCAAGACCTGGGTTCAAATCCTGCCCTTGATACTTATCATAGTAGGATCATGGTCAAATCATTTATCCTGTCTGGGCCTCAGTTTTCCTCAGCTCTAAAATGGAGAAGATAGAGTTCCTCTGGAAGATCTGGCAAGATCCAGTCAGGCCTGCTCCCCACACCTCATCGGTCCCCTCTGCCCCGGGATTGAGAGGGGAGTACAGCCGCCATCTCCCCAGCCCGTGCCTTGGTTTCCCTGGTGGCTGCGCTCGCTGCCTTCTCCACCATTCCCCGTCCCCATCCCATCAGTTTCCTTTTGTGAATTATCTCCTCCCTTAGATTGTAAGCTCCTTGAGGGCAGGGGTGGTCTTTGGTTTTGTATTTGTGCCCCCAGCACTTAGCACAGTGCCTGGCACATAGGAGGCACATTATAAATGTTTAGTACACAAGGCCTTTGAAGGACTGAAATACATCTGCAAAGTGTAAAAGGTTTGCTTTGCAAACCTTAAAACTCCGTGGAAATGTCAGTTACCGTCTTATTATTGTTATCATTATTATTATTATTAATAACCTTTCCTGCTGGCTGCTTCTTCCTGGGCTAGGGGCCGGCTGAGGAGGAGCAGGCCCTGGATGGGATCGGGGACGGTGCCAGGAAGCCCTCCAAGGTGAAGGCAGAGAAGGAGCACTTGGCCGACAAGGGGGGCTCAGGAAAGGAGAGAGGGAAGACAGCTGCAGGTGAGGCCCACGGGGCGGGCCGGGCAGGGGTGGGCTGTTAAAGGGTCTGGAGAAGGGCTGGCCGCCTTTGAGACGCAGAGCTGGGGGGTCTCAGGTCGAGCAGTGGGGTTCAGTCTGGCTTCACTGGGCTTGGAGTCAGGAAGACCTGGGTTCAGATCTTGCTTCAAGACACTTATTAGCCATGTGACCCTCAGCCAATCATATGGCTGCTCTCAGCCTCAGTTTCTACCTCTGTGAAATGAGGGAGCTGAATGAGGATGGTGTCCAAGGTCTCTCCCAGCTCCTGATCTTCTGTCGGAGTGGGGGTGACTTTGTCTAACTCCTGGTTGCTGGTTCCCCAGCTCCGAAGAGTGCCCCAGCTAGGAAGAAAACCAAGGGCCAGTCCCAGCCCCAGGTGAAGCCACAGCCCCGGGCACTGGGGCCCACGTTCGATGAGCTGCCTTGGGGAGAGATCACCCTCAACAAGTGCCTGGCGCTGGCCTCAGTTGTGGCTGTCCTCAGCATGGCCTTCCAGGTGTTCCAGGGTAAGCAGGGCCCAGGCCTGCCGACCCCTGCCCACGGCCGCTGAAGGGTGTCCGGAGGGACTGGAGGCTTGGCCCCAGCCCGTTTTAGACTGAAGTCCCTCCCTCTGCCCCCTCCAAGATGGTCTCTGAAGGTGGGGGAGGGGGTTGCTCACCCTGAGCTCTCTAATCCAACCCCATTCCCAAGGCACAGCCTAGCAGGAACTGACCCTGAGGGGGAGGGGAGACCCTGAAGGTGCTGTGACCCCAGAGATCACATGGGGGTCCCAGAAACAGACCCAGTACAAAGGGTGGGCCTTGTGTGGGGAGCCTTGGGGTGGACACATGTGGGGGGGGGGGGATTGGAGTCCACTTCAGATCATCAGCCTTCCCTCCGTGCATTGTTAAAGAGCTGTCACAGCCCAGGAGTTGGGGGGGTCCCACTTCTCACATTGCTGCCAGTGCTGAGGTGACTGCTGTGAGGGAGGGGCCCCTGGGCGGCAGGAGCAAGTTAGGGGTGGGGCTCCGACGTCAGTTCGAAGCAGGAATAAACAGACCTTCACTGGATTTGGTTGGGAGCCTCTGAAGGCTTGAGTGACCTTGGTAAGATCTTATGCCCTTAGGACACTTGCCCCTTCTGGAGTTCTCTGCTCTGAGGTCTGCCTGCGCTTTCGACTGGTTGGATAAACCCTGAGAGACCCCTGCCCCCTTAGGAGTGACATGGGATGGCTGAGCAGGAAGGCTGGGCCCCAGGCAGAGGACCCCACTAACCTATCTGATTCTCCTTCCTCAGATGTCATTGATGGGGAGGAGGAGGGCCCTGAGGCTGCCCCTGCCCTGTGGGCCTGGCCAGGCAGCAGTGCCCCGAGGGACAGCAGACCCAAGCTGGTGAGGAGGGGGGGAAGAGGCCTGCGTTCAGAACTGGAGGCTCTGGGTTCAGATGCCAGCTCCGCCGTTTTCTAGTCACCCAACCTCTGAGTGTTAGTTTCCTCCTCACTGAGGTACCTTCCGACTCTAAAGTCTGTGACCCTCGGGGGCTGTTTGGTCCCCTCCATTGGCCCCTGGGAGCAAGAGACCAGGAGGGCTGGGGCCCAGGCCCTCTGTGGCAGCCCCTCATCCTGGGCCTGAGGGCTTTCCCAGCATGGAAGTGACCCACCCATCAGCTTGGGTATGGAGAGGCAGGCCTGCCTGATGCAGCCACACCCCCAAGGTGAGGTTGGCTTCTCTCCTTCAAGCCCCATTAAAGCCCTGTTCCCCCGGGCCACCATTGACCTCCTCTCTCCTGTTCCACACAAGGGTGACCCTCTCATGACCCAGGCTGAGATCTGTCCAGGATATAGCCCAGCCACATAAGCCTGTCCCCTGCCCCTGGCCATTAGCTCAGCCAAGATCTCTGTTCCTCAAACAGCCCAAGCCCAGAGACTGGGCTAAGGCGTCAGCACCAGCCGCACCTCCAGGGCCAAAGCCCCAGACTGCCGTGGTCAAGGAGGCCTCACCCAAAGAGCCGGACACAGAGGGGCAAGAAGCGGAGGGTAAGGTGAGTCCTGGCCCGGCCCCAGAAGCAGCCGTTCTGCCTGAGGACCCCCGCCCCAGCTCCAAGGTGGCCAAGCCAGAGAAGCCGCCCTGGGCAGCGCTGCCCAAGAAGGAGGAGAAGGCCAAGGACAGGAAGGGCTTCCGAGAGGACAGGGCTGAGCCCCCGTGGCGGGAAAAGAAGGAGGGCGGCCATAGGCCGAGGCCGCGCCAAGAAGGGAAGGAGGAGGCCCCACGCAGGCCCTGGGAGCGGGAGCAGGAGCACAGGCGCCCTGGCAGGCAGGAGGACTCCAAGAGGGCCCGGGATGGACCCCGGAGCAAGAGACAAGAGCAGAGGGGCCGCGGGGGGCGCGAGGGGCGTGAAGACAGGGACAGGTTCTTCCCCAAACAGAAGCACCGGGAAGGAAAGCGGAGGGACTGAGGAGGCCCGAGGAGGCCCGTCCCTGGCTCCCAGAGGGCACAGCCCTGCGGCCCAGCAGCCGTCGGCCCTGGCCATCCGGCCCGGCCATTCCACCCCTGCTCCCTGCGACGTGTGGCCACCTGGGTTCAAATCCTGTGTGATTTGAGCAAGACACGTCCCTGAACCTCAGCTTCTCCTCCTAGAAAATGAGGACTGACCACCCCTGAGCGACTGTGACCGCGGAGGGGATTGCCGTGGGGGGGATCGCCGCGGAGGGCTGCGGGGGAGTGTGCAGCCTCTCTGGGTGGCCGAGAGCTGCCACCATGGCTGCGCCCCCAGCCCCTCCCCCAGCCTCCCGAGGCTGGTTCAGTTCCAGGTGCACGGTCTGAGTTTGTTATAAAGTGAATGTTTAAAAATAAAAACACCGTCGTTCAGGCTTATTCAGTTGCAGGATTATTTCTGAGCATACAAATGCCATCTGAACGCCTTCCACCACCCCAGGTCTGGGCCTGACCAGGAGCTCTGAGGCTGCTAATTGCCACGTCCTCTGCGTGGCCATCCATCTGAACGGCCGAGGCTCCCACTGTCCACCTTAACAAAAGCAGCTGGGAGAGGAGAAGGGAAGGAGGGCTGGGGGCCAAGTCCCTAAGGAGATCAGCTCTAAGGTCCCCGTGGCCAGGCCCCTGGGCCTGGGACGTCTCCCAAGGTCTGGAAATGGCTTTCTTTGCCTTTGAGAGTGGGAAGCACTCTGCTGATGGGCAGGAGGAGGAAGGAGGCCATTTCCCAGTTGGGGGAATTTCTCAAGGGAGGGTGAGCTTGCAGGAGAGGGCCGTGTTGGGCACTGGAGAAGGGACAGGAGCAAGAACAAGGGAAGGAGTGACAGGTTTGGGTGTGTTAAGCAGGGACTAGGTGGGCAGGGCACATTTTGGGGAGGTCTCTCCCTCCCTCTTCCCTCCCCCTTCTCTCCTGTCTCCTCCTCTCTTCTTTTCCTCTCTCTCTCTCTTTCTCTCCCCCTCCCTCCTTTTCCCCTCTCCCTCTCTTTTCTTCTCTTCCCTCCCCCCTTCTCTCCTCTCTCCTTTTTTCTCTCCTTTCCCCCGTCCCTCCCTCTCTCCTCTTCTCTCCTTCTTTCCCCCTCTCTTCTCTTCCCTTCCCCCCTCTGTCCCTCTCTCTTCTCTCTCTTTTTTCTCTCCCCCCATCCCTCCCTCTCTCCCTCTCTTCCTTTCTCCCCTCTCCTCTTCCTTCTCTTCTCTCCCTCTTCCTCCTCTCCCCTGTCTTCTTTTCTCTTGCTTCTCTTCTTTCCCTCTTCCTCCCTCTGTCCCATCTTCTTTTCTCTTCTCTCTCTCTCTCCTTCCTTCTCTCTCCCCCTTCCCCCCCTTCTCCTCTCCCTCTCTCTCTTCTCCTTTCCTCTCCTCTTTTCTCTCCCCTGCTTCCCTCAGCCCTCGTCCCAAGTCATCTCCCCACCATGGGCCAGACCACCAAGCCTAGAGGGGAGGAGCAGTAAGAGCAAAGCCAGTTCCATGCTTTGGGCTTTGCCCCCCAGAGCTCAGCCGTCCCCTACTCTCCTACCCCGTGAGTAGCCACAGCCTCAGCCAGATTCTGTGCTTTATTGGACAATGTTTTGGTTGGTCAGAATAAATGTGGGGCAGGGTTCTGGGCTCCTCAGTCACCACGCCACTCCCTGTGCCAGGGCTGGGCCGGATGCTTCCTGAGCACAAAGATCCCGTTTGGGTGCTGCCCTGACCAGCTCTGTGCCCAATCCCACCTCTCCCCACTGATACTGGTGCCCTGGGCTGCCCTCATGCCCAATCCATGCCCACGGGAAAGACCTGAATGGCTGCCACTCCACCTCCCTGCCCAGGGCCTCCTCTGGGCACTGGCTCAGTGAGGGTGGGGAGGTATGTGAGGGAAGGGAAGGAGGTGGGAGAGGGGAGAGGGCAGGCAGGGAACCAGTGGCTGCTGAGATGATGCTGGGAACCTCCCCATCTTTGGGGATACTGTGGGGATCGGGATCACCACTGATGGTGGTGAGGGGCAGCCTGCCCGGAATCCAGAGGAAGGTTCCAGTCGGGCAGTGGGTCAGGTGTGGGCAGTGGGGGCAGGGAGGTCCAGGCCCCTGGCCGGAGCTAGGTTGGGACAGGCCAATGATGTGGAGGCATCGATGTCAGGCTGTCGGGGCTTGGCTGGTGCTGGGGAGGACACGGGGGAGGGTGACGGGGCCCGCTGAGCCTACCGACAGCCACACTCCGTAGCTACCATGTTGGGCATGAGGCGGGCACTGAGGCCCTCTTCGGAGAGGCTGATGAGAGTCTTGCCAGCATAGGCAGTGGGCACGCAGCAGGGAGAGCGACCCAGAGGTTCCCCCCTCTCCTGCATCTTCAGCAGCAGCACCACATGGTTGTTGTAGTTGGGGCTGCGGTCAGACTGGGGCCAGTGGCAGGGGCCCTGGCAGTTGTTGGCCATGTAAGTCTCGGGGATGAGGACAGATCGCTCGGCCCGTAGGTCCACACTCAGCTCTTGAAGCCGGCACGGACTGTCACCTCCAAGCCTGGCACTTCGGAGGGCCCGGGAGGCCTTCTTTCGCTCTCGCCACTCAGCCTTCAGGCTCTGCAGGGCCTTCAGCAGCAGCAGGGCCCGGAGCTGGCCGGCCGGGGCCTTGCCCTCGGCCTGGTCACCGCTGCTGCTGTTGGTTGGGGCTGGGCAGAGGGCCAGGAGCTGGTGCAGGAGCTCAGCGTGGGGTTGCAGGGCAGGCAGGCCCAGCAGCTCCTTTGCCACAGCCTGCAGCTTGCCTGCCAAGTGCTGGGCCGGACCCTCCTGGGTCTGCCACCGTCCTGCCAGGCCTTCCAGCAGGGCTGGGCTTCCTGCTGGAAACAGCAGCAGCATGGGGTCCTCTGACTCCACCAGCCGCTCCAGGGTGGCAGGGTCCGAGAGGTTGAAAACCCAATGTGGGAGGGCCTCCAGGGCCTCGGGATCCAGGGCCAGACGCAGTGGGCGTGCGCCTGGAGGACCCAGGACTCCTCGGACCAGGCGGGTCAGGGTGTCCAGGAACGGGTCTGTGGAACCTGGAGAGGCTGCTGTGAAAGGCGGCTGGGAGGATGGCCTGTGGGCAAGGAAAACAAGGCTGGGGGTGCGGGGTGGAGGGGGGCTGTTCTCTAGCTCTAGGAGAGGGCGGGGACCCCTTAGGGCCCCCTAGCGGCAGGTTCCCCACCCCTGCTCTAGGCTCGCACCCTGCTCTTCTGTGACCCCACGGTGGCTCAGGGAAACAAGCCGCCGGTCCCCTGGCGTCTCAGCTCTCCTACCCATGCGATGGCCCTGCAGTCCAAGGAGGGGGGGAAGGGACCCAGGCTTGCCCACTCCCCTGAGGCCCCTGCACACCTGGGCAGGGGATACGGTGCCGTATCTAGCCGGCCCTCCGCTGGGAGAGGTCTCGGGTTGGGCTTGGCCCCCACGCTGTGCCCCTGCAGCAAGAGTAGGACCGGAGTCATCCTCGTGAAGCACTTGTGGTCCAGACCAAAGAGCAGGGCCTGGAGTTCTGGGGTGGCCAGAGAGGGGCCTACAGCAGCACATGGGGATGCAGTCTGGGGTCAGGCCGGTGCTAGAGACCCAACTCAGGTGTCCTGCTTCCCAGCCCCCACCTCCTCCCTGAGGCCCCCCGGCTCCACCTCAACCCCGCCCCACACGACTAAAAGCCTCCCAGACCCTAGGCCAGTCGTTTCCCCAGATGGTGAACCTCCATACCCGCTCTACCCCGGGGCTGCAAAGCAAGGGAGAGCCCACCACGAGCCATCCCGTCCACCGCCAGGACCAGGTACTGGGTGTCCAAGGAGAGACAGAGGCTCTGCAGAAACAACGGAGATGGGGGGGAGAAGATGCACTGCCTGCTCGGTCGGGCCAACCCCTCCCGCCAGAACCTCGGGCCCAAATAGATCTCAGCATCTCGGCTGCGGAAGGGACCTCAGAGGACCACCCCTACCTCCAGTGACCTTCCGAACCAGCTCGTTCCACCCTTGGACAGCGCTTCCTTATCTCAGACCCATTCCTCCCCCTCCCCAGCCTCCATTCCTGCGGATACTGCCTGGGGAGGTGGGAGTGGGACAGGGGGGGCGGGGGGGGCGGGGGGGTGCGCGCCCGGAACAATCCAATCCCAACTCCGAGGGCCCCAGGATCCTCTCTCCTCCGAGGCGGATGGCCTGGGACTGGAGGGTCTGAGATTCGACCATCCCAGGACTTGGCTAAGCTGCGTTCCAGTCAAAGAGCTGGGATGGGCAACCCAGCTCTGTCCTTGCTAGGCAAAGCCTTGGCATCCCTTGCAAGCTAGTTTAGGCACTGAGAACCACCCCAGCCCTCAGAATGGGAGTGTGAGTGCTTGACTGTCCATGGAGACCAGAAGGTTCTTCGCCTAAATCTTTGCCCCGACTATGGCTAGCAAGAAATTCAGCCCTCTTTTCAAATGTATATTCTGGGGGGGGGGGGGTTAGCCTCTTTTAGCCGGGGTCCCCCACAGAGGTTGAAAAGACAATGTTCCAGCCCTTTGTCTTTATCATTCTAGCTCCGGCCTCGAGACTTCCCCTTTCCACAGTCTCTACCTGCTGAGGTTGTAGTCCGGTTCCAGTGACCTGGAACTCCTGCCCAGGCTGGACTCCGCCTCTCCCAGGCCCGGGGTACAGCACCAGCAGGGCCAGTTCTGGGGTGCCTGCTCCTTGAAGCGATGGTGGGGGCTCCTGGAACCGGAGGCTCAGCTCCGGCTCCCACCTCACTGCAGGACGCAGACAGGAGTGAGGGAGCGAATGGGAGGGGGAAGCACCCCGGGGCAGGGGGGAGGAGTGCAGGGAGGGGGAAGCACCCTCGGGGCTCTCTCCTGCCAGGACAGAATGGGGCAGGATGGGCTCTAGGGGCCCCTTTCACCCTCTCTGGACCCACAGGCTTCCCAGCAAAAGGCAGTTGCTAGGGTCTCTCAAGCCCTACCAGGGAGAGGAGGGGGGACCTCTAAGATGATCCCGGTGCAGTGGGTTTGGAATGAGGGCAGTTAGAGGCCCTGAGTTCAAACTCCCAGGTCTGCCCCTTTACTATCTCATGTGAGCTTGGGCATATGGGTCTCAGTTTCCCCATCTGTAAAATAGGGGGAGGGGTTGCACGAGGTGATTTCTAATGTCCCTTCTAGTTCTCAGCCTGTAATCTGAGCCTCTGTCCTCCGAAGAATTCTGATTCTGCTCTTTAATTTCATCTTTTTCTCCTGAAGATCCTTAAACATTTTAGGCCGATAGGATTCTAGGTCTAGAAGGGGTCCAATTTAACTTTGGAAGGCTAAGCAGCTTGTCCCAGTTGTAACCAGAGGAGAGCTGGGCCTCAAACCCAAGTCTTCAGGCACTAAAAATTCAATGCTCTTTTCCCACTACACCCCACAGCTCCTACCCTGAGGAAGTGTAGTCTCTCCTACACTTTGTTAACAGCTCCCAGTGGGGACAGCAAGGGGCACTTCCTTCCTCTTTTATAGATGGAGAAATAGGGACTAGGATTAGAGAAGGAGACTGACCCCCAGGCCAGCTGCCTATGCCGACCCGACCTCAGGAAAAATGCGGATGGCTATTTTCTCCCATGAGGGGCCCCGTCCCTATGAGCTCTCGGCTGCCTCTAGCTTTCCCCTGGGTTGGGCTCTCAGAGCCAGGTCTCCCTGTCACCCCTAAGAGTGGCCAGGGAGGCCAGGAATGGGGCCTGGCATATAGAACTGATGACATTGCCTTCGGGAAGCAGGGTCTGGGGCTCTTTGCTGTCCCCCTACCCCCGAGTGCATGCCCTAGAGCAGACCACTGGGATCACTGGACAGATAAGAGGCTCTGGACCTTCTAAGACCAGCTGACCCCATCCTGTACATCACCTCCCACCCCCAGCTCTTATTCCCTCTCTTAGAGAGGCTTAGTGAGTAACATCTTAGACTTGGGTTTGAGTTCATCTTTACCAGTGACCTCAGACGAATCACTAGACTTGAGTTTTGAATTCTATACCTATATTATGGGGATAAAAATTCTGTCCTGCCACAGACCTTTGTTGCCCCCAACAGACACAAACAAAAAACAACAAAAAAGAAATCCCAAACCCCAATTGTGAAGACCAGAAAAAAATAGACTCAGCCTTCAATTATCTGTTTTGTGGATTATCCACAGCCTCCTCCCTAGTGTCCATCCAGGCCACCCACATGGTACTGGGAAGTAGTCAGGGCTGGACACAAGCCCAATCCACGGGGTTAAGAAAACAGCCACCTTATGCTATATTGAGAGGCAGCACGGCCTCCTGGGTAGCAAGCTGGCCTCGGAACCAGAAGACCCAGGTTCAAGTCGAGACCCTGAGCAAGTCACTCTCGGTGCCCTCGGCAGCTCACTCAGACTACAAGTCTCAGAGATGGTGCCAACGTGTGGTAGCAGAGGACGAGAATATCGTTTGTCAGTGAGATTGCAGGCCTAGTCTCTATCCCCATTTTGTATTTATTATCTGGTTTTTTTTCTATGGGCACAGGCCTCTTTCCTCTTGGGCCTTCAGCTTCCTTGAGAAAGGATAGAACTGAGGGGTCTCGGAGCTCCTTTCCAGTTTTCCAAAGGCTAGAACTGAGAACAGATGAGACACAAAAGCTGCCTGAGGCCTCCCCATTCAGAAAGGTGACTTTGCCGTGGGGCTGGGAGAGCCTGCTTCCAGCGTCAGAACCCAGGGCCCAAAACTTGGACCTTGTAACTCAGCTCCTGTTTCCATGATCTAGACAAACCCGTCTCCTTCCCCTGTTGAACTAGCCAGGGTTACTGTCTGGTGCTTGGAGCTCTGAAGCTGGTTCTTAAATCTAAAGGAGGGGGGGCGGGCAGCTGAGCCCAGGCTGGAATGGGGTTTGCTTTGCGTTGTAGCATTCTTAAAAACAGGTCTTCTTCACCCCTTTTTGTGTCTTGGACCCCTCCAGCAGGATGGTAATGCCTATGGACCCCTCCTGAGAATAATGTTTTCTTTAAAAACATTAGTTGAGGGGTAGTTAGGTGGTGCAGTGGATAGAACACCGGCCCTAGAGTCAGGAGGACCTGAGTTCAAATCCAGCCTCAGACACTTGACACTTACTAGCTGTGTGACCTGGGCAAGTCACTTAACCCCATTGCCTAGCCAAAGAAGAAAACAAAACAGAACAAAAAAAAACATTATTTGAAGGAAACATTAAAATTCATTTAGAGGTTAGTGAAAATAAAAATGTGCTATTTCCCCCCTCCATTCAAGTTCACAGACCCACTGAAATCTATCCAGATTCCAGGTTAAGAACCCGTTTTAAAGCCTGGCCCTCAGAGACAATATCTGGGAGTTTCTTGAGAAGAGAGGAGACCAGCCCTAGACCAGCCCTGAACAAAGTCTAGCTGGTCAACTCCCTGGGCAAGCTGCCCTGGCATGCTACACACTGGGCTTGGAGCCCAGACCTTACCCTAGCCATCCCCCCTGCCCCACCCACTCAAGGCCTGATAAATCCGTTCTAAAGTCCAGAGTCTTAGAAACTTGGAGATCCCTGGTGCCATCATAGACAATGAACAAAGCCAACCATGAATCACTAATTCATAGGATGTTGGGGATAGAGATAATTCACAGGATCTAGGGTCTCACCCCCTACTTTTTTTTTTTTTTTTTTTTTGACAAAGGTCCAGAAAGGGGCAGCAGAGACACACTAGAGCTGGGACTCAAACCTCAGTCCTCTGATTCCAAATCCCAGGATTTGGGATAGGCCAGAGAACCAAGCTAATGCTACTGGCAGTTAGCTAGGAGAACCCTCTGAGCTGTAAGAGGCTGGCATTCCTCTTTCTGGGACCCAAGTATCCTGGACCACCCCCTCCATTAGGACCTAGCCCCGGAGGCTGGCTGCAGGCTAGGGATCACTCCCGCCACCCCAGAATGTCCTCCAGCCTTGCCCCTAAGAACGTGCTGTGTATAGAGCACACCTACCTTCTTCCAGGTGGAGAACCACCAGGCTCCGCCCACCTGGCTCCACCAGCCATCCCCCCAAATGCTGCAGAGAGATGCGAGCTACTCCTGTGCCCCCCATGGGGCAGATCCCGAAGGCAGCCAGGTCCCGTCTGTCCCAGCGGGCCTGCCTCAGAGCTTCCACAAAGCCCCTCTCGTAGCCACTCAGAGCCCCCACCACCTGAAGGGGGTCTGTGCCCCCTTCGCCCCCCTTGCCTACTTTTACCCAGCACACCGGGTTTGTTAGGCCTCCCAAGGGCCAAGGGTGGGGCTTAGTTCCAGTCCATAGATCTGAGGTGCCGCTGTCCCGGGCAAACAAGGGCCAAGGGAGGTACACTTCACTCCCAGGGGTCTTTTGGCTCCTCGGGGATGACGCTCCATCATGAGGATTCACCCCATCTGGGTCAGCAAGCTCTGGCGACTTCTCCGACCTCTCCCTCCTCTGGTCCTGGGCCACCAGGCTCTTGGGCAGAGTTGGTAGTGGCATGGCGTCGGCATCCGATTGCCCCTTCTTGGGGGGCTCTGCTCTCAGCACAGCAACCATTGCTGACAGGAGCAGGAGCAAACCCAGAAGGGAATCCTTCATCTTGGGCCGGTTGTGACCAAGCCTTTGGCTAACTGGGGCTTTTATGAGATTAAGGTGGCAGAAATGCCTTCTCCAGACTGTTTATGAGGGAGGGAAGGATGACTATCTCTTCCCAGTGGAGGAGACCTTGAATTGACAAAGCAGAGTACATCCTTTGGGACCCTGGGAGGCCAAGAGTCTGGATGACAGGGGAGGCCCTTTCAAAGGGCTCTTTCTGTTCTATTTTTGTGCTGGGTATCTTGCTTCTTAGAAGCGATATAAACTTCAAGCTGTTGACCGGATTTGTCAAAATGCTGTCCTTGACTGATTTTCTAAAAAATGTGAGTGGGAACCTGAGCTGGGAGTGTATGGTTCAGAAAGGCTGAGGAACAAACATTGTGGGGAGGAGGCAGCTGTACCCAGGGCAGAGGGGCTGGAGGGAGGAAAGTGGGGGGATGCAAACCCTGGGGACCAGGAAGCCAGGGCCTTGTCTATGGGCTGTGTGCATTCACAAGTTTTCAGCAAGGCCAGCTATGGGTCCATGAGGGACACAACGGAGCCAGAAGCCTTGTTTTGGCAAGTTGAGCAATTGGCTTTTTTCAGAAGAAAGCCACTTCTACGGACAGTAACAGAGAAAAAAAGAGCTAGAAGAGGCCTTAAAAATAAACTAACAGGCCAAGTGGCAGTGAAAAAAGTGCTGGCTCTTGTGTCAGAGACCAGGGATTCCAACCTTGCCTCGGACGCTTACAACCTACATGACCAAGGGTGGGTCACTCATTCTCCCTGAGCCTCAGTGTCCTCATCTGTAAAATGGAGCCTCCTTCCAGCTCTAGATCGATGAGCCTGGTCAGTCAACGAGCATGTGTTTACTCTGTGTCATGCACCATGCAAGGCCCTGGGGATACAAGCAAGGAGCTCACCTTGTAGTGAGGGTGTTCCACACCAGGTACACAGAGCAGAAATGGGAGGTGATCTCAGAGGGAGGGAGGAGGAAGGGAATGAGCCATGGAAAGACCTTCTGTAGAAGGCAGGATGAAAGCCAGGAATTCCAGTCCAACCTCCTCATTTCATGGATGAGAAATTAAGATACTTGCCTGGAGCGACCTGCCTGGAGTGGGTATCCCAGACGAGATTTGAACCTGGGTCCTCTGATATTCAAACCACAGCATCACACTGCCTCATCACTTTGGATTGCCCTGGGAAGCCAAAAATCCCAGGAGTCCATATTGCTTATGTGAGTCACTGATAATCAGGTGGTCAAGGTGGAGCTGCCCTTGGGGTCTTAGTTCACAAAGGTGCCATCATGATGAGTGACATATGGTTGAGCAGTGACTATGGGTAAAGTGTATAATAACAATGGTGGCGATAATGATGTAGACCTTGAATGCAATCAAATGCAAAGATTTATGACATAAAATATACTTTTGTTGTTTGGTCATTTCAGTTGTACCCAACTCTTCGTGACCCCATTTGGGGTTTTCTTGGCAGAGATAATGGAGTGGTTTGCCATTTCCTTCTCCAGCTCATTTTACAGATGAGGAGACTGAGGCAAACAGGATGAAGTGACTTGCCCAGGTTCACACAGCTAGTAAGTGTCTGAGACTGGATTTGAACTCAGGAAGATGAGTCTTCCTGTCTTCAGGTCCAGCAGTCCATCTACTGTGCCACCTGGCTTCCCTTAAGATATACATTTTATAATAAAAAAAGATTAGAGAGACCAATGGTAGTGATAATGGTATAAAGTGTTGGTGATGAATGCAACTAAGTGCTAAAATGTATGATACATGCCAGACACTGGAGAAAAATGCTAGTGCTAAAAAGAATCTTCAAGGTCACTTCATAACTTAAAGAGAAAAAGGGGGCCCAGGAAGGTCAATGATACGCATCATAGAGAGGATGAACTAAGAAACCCTAATATACAGAAACAAATTCAATGCCCTGAGATTTGGTGGGACAGGATTAAAATATGATTATTGGTGAATTGGTGAAATTGGTAAAAAGGCACATAATAGATTTAAAAGCAGGCTGGGTGGGGATGGAGTAACATCACATATTAAAAAGATGTTAAGAGGCAGCTGGGTGGCACAGTGGATAGATCATCAGCCCTGGAGTCAGTGCAAATCCAGCTTCAGACACTTACCAGCTGTGTAACACTGGGCAAGTCACTTAACCCCAACTACTGAAAGAAAGGAGGGGGTGGGAAGGAAAGAAAGGAAGGAAAAAAAGCTAAATTTTTGTGAATAAATCTAGTAACCCAAGGTAGGAAACATGGTGGAGAACCATGGGTTAGAATTAATGAGAGGGGGAAAAGCAACAATATTATCGTGATGGTATATCTAGACCAACTGGATCAACTGGGACAGGGATAAGGGAAGAAATTAAGTTGGAAAGAAGATACAAAAGTACACAACATACAGAAGCAAATTAGCATAGTAACCTAGTTTTTGACAAACCCAAAGATCTCAGTTACTGGGGCAAGAACTCACTATTCAACAAAAAATATTAGGAAAAATTGGAAAGTAGTATGGCAGGAACTACATCTAGACCCACATCTCAAACGTAGGCCAAGGTAAGCTCAAAATGACCTAGATATAAAAGACGACATCAAAAGCAGACTAGTGCAGCATGGATGACATCCCCTGTCAGATCTATGGACAGAGGAAGAGTCCGTAACCAAACAAGACAGAGCCATCCTCCAATTGATAAATTGTCAAAGGTTACGGATGGGCAGTTTTCAAAGGAAGAAATCAAAACTATCAATGGCTATATTAAAAATACTCTACTGTTAATGGAGAAATGGAAATGAAAATAACTCTGAGGTACCGCCTCACACTCATCAGATTGGCTAAGATGACAAAAATGGAAAATGACAAATGCTGGGAGGGATGTGGGAAGACAGGTGCAGCAGTGCATTCACACTGTGAACTAGCCGAACCATTCTAGAATGCAATGTGGAACTACGCCCAAGAAGTTATTAAGCTGTATGTACCCTTTGACCCAGCAATTCCTCGACTAGGTCTATACCCCAAAGAGATCAAAGAAAATGGGAAAGGACCCATATGTACAAGAATATTTGTATCAGCTTTTTGTGTTGGCAAAGAATTAAAAACTGAGGGGATGCCCCCCAACAACTGGGGAATGGCTGAACAAGCTGTGGCATATGGATGTGACGAAATACTATTGTGCTGGTAAAAAAACGAAAAAGACGGTTTCAAAAAAACCTTGTACAAAATGATGCAAAGTGAAGTGAGCAGAACAATTTATACAAAACCTTTGTAAAAACAAAAGACTCTGAAAGACCTAAAATTCTGATTATTACAATGACCAACAGCTCCAAAGGATTCATGACGAAACACTAGTGCTATGCACTAGCAGATTGAGCTGATGAACTCAAGAGTACAGACTTCTTTTTTGGGGAATAGTAACTTAGGAATTTATTCTGCATGCCTATACGTAGTGGGTTTTGTTTTTCTTGTCTTCTCAATAGGCAGGGGAGAGAAAGGGGAAGGAGAATGTTGCAACTGAAAATAAAATTGAATTTAAAAAAAAGAAAACAGATACAAATTAGGAATGGAACCATTGTATTATAATGTAATGACTGCAGATTTCAACTACCTGGACATCTGTGAAGTTCTCTGTCAAATGCAGAGCAGTTGATCAACTTGTGACAAAGTAATTTCATCCTTCCAAGGGTGGGAGTAACAATTCTGGGAGGGAATTGCTGTTCTGTGTTTTATTCTGACTAACAAGGTGGGGCTGGCTTCTAAAAAAGAAATGAGAAGAACTTTGAGGGCAAACGACCACTTTGTCATTGAATGTTGATGAAATCCATAGGTGCTACATCAGATTTCAAAGAGTCAAGGGAAAGGATAGGCAGGATCCGATGGTATGATTGCAAGGTGAAGTTAGCTCAAGAAAGAAAGCTCTTATGCATGAAATTCTAACGACTAGAAGAAATGGTTCCAATAAGGATAATAGTTAATATTAATGTAGCCCTTACTATATATGAGGCATTGTGCTAAGTGCTTTACAATTATTATTTCATCCTCACAACCCTGGGAATGAGGTGCTATTATTCCCATTTTACAGACAAGGAAACTGAAGCAAACAGAAGTGACCTGCCCTGCGTCACAAAGCTACTTACTAAGCATCTGAGGTCAAATTTGAACTTAGGTCTTCCTGCCTCTAGGCCCAATGCTCTCTATCCACTGCCCCAAATACCTCCCCCATAAATAAAACGTGAGAAGATGCTTAAAGTTACTGATATGGACACATGGAGAACTCAGTCTGCCACTGAATCTACCACTACACATAAGAGTATTGAAAGAACAGGCAAACAGGATAGCCAAGTCACTGTCCGGTGATCTTAATAAGATCCTGGGGAACACAAAGTGTTATCAAAACATCCTCATTTTCAGAGGGTAAAATCTGCGGCCTCAATTTCTACTCCTGGTAACAGTCTATAGCCTATTAAGATGGTTTCTGAGGGAAACACTGATTACTAAAAACCAACATGGCTTCCAAAACAGGCCATGTCACCAATGTATGGGTTTGTTCTGCCTAACTATGCCTTTTTTTTAAGCTTGGGGGAGGAGGTTTGGGAAGAAAGGACTAGTGATAGTGAAATAAAAAAGAAAAAGGGAAATAAAAGAGGGCCATTGCAGCATTTTCTAAATGTGCAAAGAGAACAGGAAGAGGTTAGATAAGCAGAACAGCTTTGAAATTGTTGAATTTATTATGTAACTTTGAAAAGAAATGCAAGCTTATGGAAGGGAGATTTTAGCTTTATATGCATTCTTCTTTCCTGTTCCTCTATGTAGGTGAAAATAGTTGGGTTTGTTGATTTTGGGCAAGTGAAGAAAAATACATTTTTTTTTAGAGTAGACTACGTCAGACTAAACTCATTTCCATTGAGACTGATGGGGCAACTAGGTGGCACAGTGGGTAGAGAGCCAGGTCTGGAGTCAGGAAAGACTCAACTTCCTGAGTTGAAAGCCAGCCTCAGGCACTTTCTAGCTGTGTGACCCTGGTCAAGTCACTTCACCCTGTTTGCCTCAGTTTCCTCATATGTAAAATACTGGAGTAGGAAATGGTAAACCACTCCAGTATCTTTGCCAAGAAAACCCCACATGGGGTCACAGAGTCGAACATGAGTGAACATCAAGTAGTCTTGTAGATCAGGGGAATTGCTATAGACGAAGCATGCTTATATTTCAGCAAAACCACTCACGCTATCTTCACAGACAGGTTAAATAACGGTATATATACTTAACTTTGAATGTGTTGAATGACCTACCCAAACAATAATCATTAATGGCTGGAAGTGAAAAGTTTCTAGTGGCTGTTCGACATTTTTATAAACAACTTAACATATACATCCAGCATACTTGT